TCCACATATGAGGTAGCAAACCCAAAATCACCAGAGAAATCCATGGGAAAATATCACACTTCAGCATTATGTAAATTTGAACAAAGAGATGGTAATGTGCCCACACCCTTAAATCCCATAAGAAAAAGAGGGAGACCAAGGAAGATGGATACTGATCCTGGTACTCAGTCGGGACGACTATAGAGTACCAGAGGGGGAGATTGTAACAAACATACAGCGCCATCTAGCGTAATACGATGAGCGGCAGTCATAAACTAGAAGACAGCTGCAGTAGACAAGTGACGCCATTTACACACTGCATGTCGGACTGTCTGCGTCAGCGCCGGTCCGCATCACCACTACAGACATCAACGTGTAGATATTGTGCACACATGTAAACAGTCTGCCTTTATAAGCAGAACAGTCTTTGAGCATTTCATTCGACTAGCTAGAGGATCAGAGTTCGGTAGCCACGCAGCCAATTCTGAGCCTAAGTAAGACTAGTTCCTGTTCAATAGCCTAGCGGTCTTCAGGAATTAGCCAGCTAGGGGAGGTTGAATGGCGGTAGCCACGCAGTCCCTTTCATCCCTCCACTTAGGGTTGCCTTAAGATTAGTGCATATTGTAAAGTGTATCTTTATATAAGACAACAAACTATCGTCTAGTACAACGGGGCTTTAATTTCAAAAACCAGCAACCCTACAGTATTTTAATTCTAACATAATATTAAAGGGCTGAGTCAACAAAGAACATTTTAGAAAGTGTTTTAAACCTAATTGAAATTATAATTAGGTTTGTTAATGAGATTTTATCTGAAATTTTATGTGGAGTTGGAATGTGTTAGCTAATAGTAATTACGATCTGATTAATTGTAGATTAATTTTGGAAACATATATGAATAGTGTGGTTCGAAGTGTAGGCATCGTTTCTCATGCATGACTGTGCGGTTTTTAAAACTGACAAGTTCCAAAGTGTATTTTTTGAATTAAATGAAACTGGTATAGTCTTTTTAGATACTACTGGTAGAATGTGAAAGAAGATATTCGTCAAAACTTAGTTTAAGTATATTTTTTTTATTATAATATTTAAGTCGCTAACTTACCTTGGGCAAAGCTTTTTATTAATGTTCATATCTTCTACCTACTTTTGAAACGAAACTTTGCCTCAATAGTAGACCCGGATGTTGATTAAAATTGTACAAATTTTTCATTTTAGAGACAAGATTGAAATGACAAACCTATATTTTGGGAAATATCAAATACTAGCGACCCTCCTCGGTTGAAAAGCTGGTACAAAATTTTCCTTTTTAAGTTATTTTAATAAAAAAGTGCATCAAAATCTGTTGCGTAGCTAAAAAGATTTAAGCACATAGGGACAGAAAAAGCGACTTTGTTAATACTATGTAGTGATAGTGATTGATACTTAAGAATGATACTTTGCCGACTTATTACCAACACTACAAGATGACGTCCATATGTATAGACACAGGTAAGCCTAATACATAGTTTCGCTCCCCAACAATACTTCAGGTTTACCAGCAGACAGGATAATCTACCCAGGTATGTACCTAATTACCAACGGGTAGGATACTTGGCATTGCCTTCAGTACATCTAGACACTTCAATAGGTCATGGGTAATCTAGCATTTGGCACGCAAAATGCTATGGACGTAGATTTAGGTAAAGTATCCTTGAATACATAATGAGTTTGTTTTTGTATGATATCTGGTATTACTGATCGGATGTATTATTTCGTATTTACAATTTAACTGTGATTGTGTGATCAATATTATAATTGGATAAATTGAGCACTAAATTTAATACCCTAAAGTGTGGGAGAGTAATTAAAATACACTACGACGGTAGTAATTATAGTCTATACTAATATTATAAAGGTGAAGAGATTGTTTGAACGCGCTTATCTCCGAAACTGCTGGTTCGAATTGAACAATTCTTTTTGTGTTCGTTATTCCACTTATCGCTTAAAGCGTAAGAGTAGCTGGGACCTATACTATATATAATACGACTTAAATATAATATTAATATTCAGAGACGTAATAAAATTTGAGAAAATCTCAGGTTACATAAGAAGACAGTTTTCAGTATGAACTAAATGAGATTTTGTCACATGCATTGTAATATATAAAGGTGTTTTTTAAAGGTGGCAAAATCGTCAAATAACTTCTCTCCTCCAAGGTGGGGAAGAGGAAGTGTCAGACTTACGAAGTAGGAACCACTTCGTTACTTTTCCTGCTCCAGGCCGAGGCCAGGCTATCTCCGGCCACCGTAAGCGCGGGTCTGCGGACGGCGGTCCACGTGCGCCTCAAAGAGCCAATAGACCACCACAGACGGGGCCCTATAGGCCTGATGTTCAGCCGGGGTTGCGGGGTAAGCGCAATGAGTCACCGCGGCCTCGGCCCAGAGCAGGAGAAGGAACGGGGGGTTTTTAGTCAGTAAGAGTCTGACACTGTCTCTCGCCTTAGCCTTTGGGGGGAATTTGATTTTCCCCTGACAAAAAAAAAAGGCCGAGGCCAGGCTATATTATTGCGATTAACTCGCAAATCCGGCTGAATTCGATTTAGGTAAGTACCTAACCAACACGCACAACCATTGCGTTAAAAACTAATTAATCATTGGTATTTATTTCAATTACAAAATGCGGTTGTCATAGTTGTTATTTAAAGCTGTTGTTTACATGCAATACCTTTGATTAATTTGTTGGTTTGAAATTTTTGTTATAGGTAATACAATGCGATAGTATAACAGCGTATAATTCCTCGAATATTTTCAACGGTACAAATAAGAATTTTGCTCGATAAAAATTATCAGGATGGATGCGCGCCAACGTACCATTTTTAAAGTGACTATAAAAATATTTACGACTCCGCACAAAAGATGAATTATTATTATACATATTGCAATGAATAAAAACAATGTTGACTTTGTATTTTCCGTTTATCCTTTTTTTTGATGAAATATGTTTTATGTTTATATTTTTTATGTCATGAGTCGGCACACGAGCAGACGGATTACCTGATGGTAGGCAATCAGCGCCGCCCATGGACATCCGCAGTAACAGAGGAGTTACGAGTGCGTTGCCGACTTTTTGGGGATTAAGGATTTGGAGATTTAGGGATTGGGGAGGAGTTGGGGTAAGATTGGGCCTCAGGTAACATCACTCACACGAAAAAACGCTAGGTTGTTTCACGCTTGTTTTTTGTGAGGCCGTGGTATCATTCTGGTCGAGTCGACCTATTCGTGCCGAAGCATGGCTCTCCCACACATGTATATATAAAGTTCAATATAAATTGTTTGCTATTACGAATTTTTGTGCAATTTACGAATGGAGAAAGGGGGATGTTTGGAAACAATTCTTTTTGTGAGACCTTTTACCTGGAATGGCTCTTACGATTTATGATCATAATATACAGGAGTCCGTACCGAGTTAATGTCCTACGGCTTTCAGGACAAATAGTTATATTATACAGTCAGTTCCCGTCAGTTGCCTGTACAAACACCAAGCTATACGTATATATAATTACGTGTGTATTATGATTAGATGAGAGATATGAATGTAATTACTATTAACTAACGACCGAAAGATAATTCTGGAATATATTGGTCGCGGATAATCATAATGGTGATTAACGTTTAGTTGTAAACATGGACTAATAGAGTAATATTACGAAGCGTAGTAATTAATTTTTATTCAATAAATCAGTTTATTTTCATCTCTTTGGATAATGATTTCTGTAAACCTACTACCTATTTTTTATTTCAGTAGGTACTATCTTCAATAGATACTTTTTGTAGGATGGTGTTATCCAACTTAAGAGGGGATGAAAATGATCAGAAATAACCAATGCGAAAAGTTTTCAGTTACAATATTTGCTTTTTTCCACGGTAAAGTAATGGTTTTATTACATAAGCAAAAAACAGTTTTTTTTAATCTTATCTTCTTCTTATATATAAAAATGGATCGCAAAATGTGTTGGTAAGCGCATAACTCAACAACGCCTTTACCGATTTTGTTAATTGTTTTTTTGTTGTTTTTGTTGTTGTCAGGAGAAGGTTCTTATCAAAGAAAATATTAGAAAAGTAGAGGGAAAGTTTAGGAAAAAGTGACCCTTTGATATCGAGATAGTTGGACCCGCGCGAAGCGGGGGCGGGCCGCTAGTAGACAAATAAAAAAGATTTAGTCTTTGATAAGTTTTCCTGCAACTATTAACCTTCCAATAGTGGTAATTAGAGACATAATAGAAGAGCAATAGGTGCCGGCGTTCGCTTGGCGTTTGATGAATTAACCACATTTAAATATTATAACATTGATTTAAGTAATTTAAAGTCCAACAATAAATAAAAATTAAATTATTGAAAATCACCAACGACGACAACAATGGACGACAACAATGGACGAATTGCGGTTTTCGTTCTCATTTTAAAATATTCAAAGTTGGGAACAACAAGCTAAATGAAAAGAATGGAATTTTTAATAAAAGAATGGTATTTTAATTTTGTTTTCTTTTTTTCTCGAAACCGGCCGATGACCGATTTATGTGATTTAAATAATAGAGTATTATACAAAAAGGTTTGTTTACATGTTATTCCTTATAAAGAAAGACTGACAGCTGTACTTGCAGCTGTCGGTCACTTAGTGGTTTCTAAACGCAGTCTTTGGTAATCGTTCTTTACTAAATAATAACGTAAGTAATCATTAAGTCTCTGTAAAAATTATTTTCGTATATAAATTACCTTGTAGATTTAACTCTACTATCGAATCTTCTGAGATAAGACTGTGACTGAAAACCTATTGTTCTAACCCGAGAAACGTTTTGTTGAGGAGTCTTAATTTTTAAAAGGAGGTTGTATGCGCCTGGTATTTTTGTGACATTTATCTTATCTAAATTGTCGGCTTATGGGGTTGAGAGACGTGCTTTGTGTTGCATCTGGTGGTCTGATAATTCGACTAAATTATAACTGTATATTCATAATTTTTAAAAAAGACATCCTATTGTAATTTTAAGTGAGGTTACCGGTAGGCCAATTCTTCCACTCCCCCAATCCCTAAATCCACAAAACTCTAATCCCGAAAAGGTCGGTAAAGCGCTCGTAACTCTCCCGTATTTACGGATGTCCATGGGCGGCGCTAGTTGCTTACCATTAGGTAATCCATCTGATCTGCTCCTCTCGGCGATCTCTCGTATCGTTTTTATTTTCGGAAGTTTTAGTTTCCCGTGAATGGTCGTAGGAATCTTCTATGAGCTCTATTGAAAATTTTTGTTGCTAAAATTACTAGGACTTGAATATTTGCATAGCTACATTTGTTTGTCGAAGACACGTTTTTTGGACAAAGGGACTTTAAACCAGTTTAGATTTTCTTAGGTAATCCAAGTGAGAGAGTCGTTATTTTCAATTAATATAGCATGTCTCACACTAGTACATAGTACATAGACTACAGACGTGGCCCTATAGGGCTGATGTTCAGCCGGGGTTGCGGGGAAAGCGCAATGAGTCACCGCGGCCTCGGCCCAGAGCAGGAGGAGAAACGGGGGTTTTTAGTCAGTAAAAGTCTACTCTCTCGCCTAACCCTGGGCGGGAGAACTCATTTGATGATTTTTTCCTGACAAAAAAAGTAACAATTCAAAAATAGTTTATCGGTAAAGATTTATATCTACTATATCTATATATTATATAATCCACTTTATGTACATATTATATAACACTGTCTAGAAAGAAAGTATAAAAAGTTGTAAAGGGTCCATTTTGATGTAGGCTATACTAAATAATAATTTGTTATATATTTTTACGAGTTCCTTAACTAATTATATTGTCTTCCTGATACCGCAACTGATGGAGCCAGCAGATGTTCTCATTTCTCATGCAAATTGTTGTTTTATAGCAAAAACTTGGTTGAATCTGTTGTTTTTACACCGCCCTATTTTTCAAGTTGAAATGTTTTTAACCTTATTTTTCAGTAACTTTGAACTGTTAGGAAATTCTTATGTTTTATAATGTCGGAAGTAGGTACGTTAGAATTGAGTAGTTTTATTAGTCAACTAGCGCCTGCTAAATTTATTCTTATATACCTTCCTATTTAATCACTCTATCTATTTAAAAAACCGGATCTGAATCCCGTACGCAGTTTTAAAGATGTATGCATACACAGGGATATACAATTCGCCTCTTTAATGCAATTAAATATTTAAAAAATAATCTTACACTTATTATAGGTATACATGTTTATTTTAATATCTCTATCCAATTATTAATTTATTTAATTTAAGGGTCTCCAACAAGAAATACACAAAGCATTCACGATAATAAGAATCATAATATAAAAACTGTGTGCTTCCTCAATTACAGGAGGCCACATCATGCAAAAATGTATTTAAAATTATAATATTAAAACATAGACAGACATACAAAGTTAGGCACAATGAAACACAAAACGTAATCAGACACAAGCAACAATAAATAGGTATTCTAAATTAACACACATGTGATAGTAAAATAAAAATACCTCTCGTATAAGTATACCTCTCGTATAAATTCCATAGATAAGTATGATTTACTCAATGTCGACAATTTATCAGGAATGACTTCTTCTCACCAATTAGGTATGTTATGAGCACCATGTACTAATAAGGTTTTAAAGTTACTGGATCAACTTTAATTAAATTTGTAGAATACAAATGACAATAATATATGCTTTGTATATGTATGTGTCATAGTGAGTATGTATACACCTGCTTGTCTTTTCGCAGAAGATATGGATCTAACATTAATACACCTACCAAAATATCTCCTATTTAAAAATGTAATAAGTACTAAGTAAATATTTATTTAATAAAAATACTCTTCAAAGATTTCTCTCAATAGTACCAAAATTCAATAGATATAATATAATTTCTTTGTAAGCCATTCGAAATTATTTTATGAAATCAAATATAAATAATGATAATAGATTCATTCAAACGGCTTCATCTCATTAAAGAAATTGAATCCTTACTATTGTGCACTATTCATTTCATTCTGTAAACATGATTTTCTTTTCTAATAAATCCTCAAATCCATTCTAACTATTTTATTTAAAATATATTTGTTCAGTTCAGTGGCTGGGCAACTGGCTGCTATGCAACGTGTCGCGGGTTCGATTCTTGCACGGAACAACACTTTGTGTGATCCACAAGTTGTTGTTTCGGGTCTGGGTGTGTTGTGTATGTGAATTTCTTTGTTTGTAAACGCAACCACGACAGAGGAGAAAATTATAGTGTGGGGCAACGTTTTTTCTAAAAAAATGCATAATACATAATACATAATACGTACATAATAATATACGTAATAATAGACATAATAGCACACTACACGTCATTTTATTACCTGAAAAACTTAGGTAAAACGATTTCTATTAAACAAATAAGTGCGTCATGTAGAGGTTTTGTTCTCTGAATAAAATTAGGCTACTAATGTATATACATGATAATTTTAGTATTGACACAGATGGTGAGATTAAACCTGGTGATTCATTGATGAGCGGAGCGGAAAATGTTTGGGAAATCCACGTTGGGTAACTACTACTTTGACTTACTAACTAGGAACCACCTTGTTACTTTTCCTGCCCCAGGCCGAGGCCAGGCTATCTCCGGCCACTGTAAGCGCGGGTCTGCGGACGGCGGTCCACGTGCGCCTCAAAGAGCCAATAGACCACCACAGACGGGGCCCTATAGGCCTGATGTTCAGCTGGGGTTGCGGGGTAAGCGCAATGAGTCACCGCGGCCTCGACCCAGAGCAGGAGAAGGAACGGGGGGTTTTTAGTCAGTAAGAGTCTGACACTGTCTCTCGCCTTAGCCAGAGCGGGGGAATTTGATTTTCCCTTGAAAAAAAAAGGCCGAGGCCAGGCTATATTATTGCGATTAACTCGCAAACCCGGCTGAATTCGATTTAGGTAGGTACCTAACCTGAAGGCTTATAATAATAATACCCAAAACAATTGCGTTAAAAACTAATTAATCATTGGTATTTATTTCAATTACAAAATGCGGTTGTCATAGTTGTTATTTAAAGCTGTTGTTTACATGTAATACCTTTGATTAATTTGTTGGTTTGAAATTATTGTTATAGGTAATACAATGCGATAGTATGACAGCGTATAATTCCTCGAATATTTTCAACGGTACAAATAAGAATTTTGCTCGATAAAAATTATCAGGATGGATGCGCGCCAACGTACCATTTTTAAAGTGACTATAAAAATATTTACGACTCCGCACAAAAGATGAATTATTATTATACATATTGCAATGAATAAAAACAATGTTGACTTTGTATTTTTCGTTTATCCTGTTTTTTTGATGAAATATGTTTTATATGTACCTATATTTTTTATGTCATGCGGCATACGAGTAGACGGATTACCTGATAGTAGGCAATCAGCGCCGCCCATGGATATCCGCAACAACAGAGGAGTTACGAGTGCGTTGCCGACTTTTTGGGGATTAAGGATTTGGAGATTCAGGCTATCCCTGGGAGGAGTTGGGGTAAGATTGGGCCTCCGGTAACCTCACTCACACGAAAAAACGCTAGGTTGTTTCACGCTTGTTTTCTGTGAGGCCGTGGTATCACTCCGGTCGAGTCGACCTATTCCTGCCGTAGCATGGCTGTCTCACATTTATGTATTTATATAAAGTCCAATATAAATTGTTTGCTATTACGAATTTTTGTGCAATTTACGAATGGAGAAAGGGGGATGTTTGTAAACAATTCTTTTTGTGAGACCCTTTACCTGGAATGGCTCGTACGATTTATGATCATAATATACAGGAGTACTTACCAAGTTAATGTCCTACGGCTTTCAGGACAAATAGTTATATTATACAGTCAGTTCCCGTCAGTTGCCTGTACAAACACCAAGCTATACGTATATATAATTACGTGTGAATTATGATTAGATGAGAGATATGAATGTAATTACTATTAACTAACGACCGAAAGATAATTCTGGAATATATTGGTCGCGGATAATCATAATGGTGATTAACGTTTAGTTGTAATCATGGACTAATAGATTAATATTACGAAGCGTAGTAATTAATTTTTATTTAATAAATCAGTTCATTTTCATCTCTTTGGATAATGATTTCTGTAAATCTACTACCTATTTTTTGTTTCAGTAGGTACTATCTTTAATAGATACTTTTTGTAGGATGGTGTTATGAAACTTCAGAGGAGATAAAAATGATAAGAATTACCAATGCGAAAAGTTTTCAGTTACAATATTTGCTTCTTTCCACAGTAAACTAATGGTTTTAATACATAAGCGAAAAATTGTTTTTTTTTAATCTTACATATAGGCAGATAAAAAAAATCCCATTGAAAATTTAGTCTTTGATGAGTTTTCCTGCAACTATTAACCTTTCAATCGTGGTAATTAGAGACATAATAGAAGAGCAATAGGTGCCGGCGTTCGCTTGGGGTTTGATGAATTAACCACATTTAAATATAACATTGATTTAAGTAATTTAAAGTCCAACAATAAATAAAAATTAAATTAATAAAAATCACCAACGACGACAACAATGGACGACAATCGAATTGCGGTTTTCGTTCTCATTTTAAAATATTCAAAGTTGGGAACAACAAGCTAAATGAAAAGAATGGAATTTTTAATAAAAGAATGGTATTTTAATTTTGTTTTCTTTTTTTCTCGAAACTGGCCGATGACCGATTTATGTGATTAAAGTATTTAACTTACAAAAAAAATTACATAAACAAAAATGTTACATTTAATCAGAAAGTTCATGAGCATCTCTTGAAGAAATTGGCTGAATAATCACATTAAACAAATACATTTATAAGTAGTATCGATATCTATTTATTTATATTAGTGGTCTATATTTATTAATTTTAATATGTATTTTAAGTTGCTGTATTATTGAGTTTTTTTGTCTTCAAATTTAGTGTAAGGATTGTTTGCTGCTTGCACTTACCGTTTTTTACTCATCTCTGCATCACCCAAAGGTCAGACTGGTAGATAATGCCAACGGCATTAAGTCCGCCTATGTACTGAAATATGTGTGCATAAATAAAAAAAAAACAAAGATTTGTAGACAAGTAATTTGTTATGAAGAAAGACTTACAGCCGAACTCAGACATTTAATGTTCAGCCGGGGTTGCGGGGTAAGCGCAATGAGGCACCGCGAC